AAAAGAAAAAAAATCATTATTAACAAGATCCAGGATTCTATCGTCGAAATAGATGAATATGAAAAATTTCGTCAGAAAAAAAAACGAGGACTGTGAAAAAGATCAAAGAAAGAATGGAATTTCGTTGAAAACTCGATGGGTACCTTATGAAAAGTTCACGTATCGAAGAAGTAAATGTAATTTGAACGATGGCTATTTTTACATACCTCAAATTTAATTATTAATCCGACGAAGAGAACACTTTTTTTTTGGCACGGTTTGAGGCCAGCTGTATTCGAAAATCGATTTGTCCTCTTCTGGAATGAACGACCAGACAACGATTTAAATATAATCGAACGAACGAACGAACGAACCGTGTCTCATACTCTCGTTATTCATAAATTCTAGTGTTTTTTTTTTTTTTTATATTTTACCTAAACTAAAGACGTTAAATCTCGTGGAATTTCTGAATGTCATCAAATCGATCATTTCCGTTGAATTATCATCCTCTACAGTGAATATCTTGTGTCATGAATTCAACCGAATGAATCTACTTAACTTTACTTAGTTACTTACTTGAAGCTTTTCTCTTGTACCCTCTCAACGTTCCTTTCGTCGAGTCAAGAACGTCTGTGATTTTCTCTCTCTCACTTTCACTCTTTCTCTCTCTCTAACTCTCTTTCTTTCTTTCTTTCTTTCTCTTTCTCTCATTCTCTCCGTCTCTGTTCGTCTTTCGTTCGTTGAGCCGAAAATATCCGGCAGCAAAGAGAGCGTCGAACAAGCCGAGGCAACCCGAAGCAAACCGAGTCCAAGTTGAACGAAATTAAGATAGAATACGCGTGCGCAGTCTACAACTCCTCTACGTCGTACTTTATGAATGAAATAAACGCGTTGAGAGCCGCGAAAAGACGATAGACCACGATTCTCGATTTAAACATAAGTAAACGATTCGATTTGCTCATTTTCTTTCATCTATCTTTTATACATTTACTCGGATTTTTCTCTTAACAAAAAAAATAATCCCACATTGATACTGTAAAACAGAAAATATTTCTATACATTTGAAAAGGTATAAAACTGCAACAAGAGATGACGGTGGTCGTTTAATATATTTGGGATTTAACATTAATTAAATATAACGAATGTTTCAATGTTTAGGTTTTCATTTAAAAATCTGTTGGATTTTTATTGAATTTTTTTTATTTCACCAATAATTTTGTAATTACATTGTATGTTTCGATTAGAATGTATTAAACACTGCAAGCCGTGATTTTTTGCTTAACTCTAAAACCGAGTAAGTATTTTCGCGTTATAGCGTTTTAAGACGACGAGGAGATGCGAAGATGCATCTACGCTGCACCTGTTGCGCAGGATTCGAATTTTGCGGTGGATGCCGTAAATCCGTCTCCAAGCACGCGATTAATGCACCTTTCCCAAGCATACCGATGTATGACGCGTTTTATTAGCGGCCTGTAGTGACGTCGATCGTACCGTGTTCACAATTTTTCACCAAATTCCACTACCCGATGACACCTATCGTACACGAGGGATAAAACGCGTTTTTAACACGCTGCTAATCGATCGTTCGATATTTGTAAATGTCCCTCAACGTTCTAGGTATTCCGATAAATAACAGTCAAAGATCATTGTATTATTGCTATGCATTTTATTCACAACAATTAACATAGATGTACTGAAAATAAATGAAAAACCAAAAAGATTAAGCAACCCAATGTGCTTTCAAAGGGGAAATAAATTTCAATAAATATTTATGATATTTATTTATATAATAAACTATTATACACAGAGATATTAATACGAAATTTCACGATTATGTGAATACATGGTATATCGATAATTCATTGATCTTACATTTCCAAACAAATTCACCACCATTTTTTCTATTTACCAATCTGATTGCGAATAAATGATAATCAAATAATATGAATTAACTTACGTGTGTAAAATTTTATCTATTTTCGCGCATTATCGAACATGTGCATTTCAAAGAGATAATATCAACGTCCTATATAGCCTAATAACCTTTACTTGTCTTTTAATTCCCCATTTTAATATCAGACTTTACCTAACATTTTATGTAATTAATAACAAGATATTTGAATGTATAGGAAAAAAAATCCGAAAAAATAGAGTTAATTATTTGGCCAGATGAACGATCTAAATATTATTATATTTATGCGTACGATAAATTATTTTAATTGACTTAAAAACTTCTTTTTAGATTTTTTTTTGTTTAATTTACGGTCATAAGCGAATCTTCGCATACTGATACACACGTACACGTAGATAGTATGTATCTTTATATAATACATTGGCTTTTCATCAAGTATGTTACCGTTGAAAATAGAGAGAGTGGATCGAAGAAGAGTGGCAATAGTTCATCGTTAAAATATTGCTAATTAGTTCTCTTCGGTATAGTTCGAACCAAGCCGGTACCGATACATACTTGAGAGATCGATCCGAACGAATCGATGTTTTGTGAGATCTTTTGGAGAACGGGACATCATAAATCGAAGGGAAGAAATTAGCCATGGTCGGGCTCGCACTTCGATTTTATCCGGAGGCTGCAGCCCATATTTTCTTATTTTCTTAGGCCTTGCAACGCTTCTACTTTCGCTGATGACTTTATCCTTTCGATCAACTCGCTTTTATATATATACTATAATATTAGTCTAAATTATTTTTATAGAATATTTTTATAAAAACATTTTCAAATAATTCTAGCTTAATGTCTAATTAAAAAAGATGCTTTATTTTCTTTTTTTTTTTTTTTATAAATTAACTTGCACTAGAATCGGTTGATTTTCATGATATTTAACAGGATGCACATGCGCGTGACAAAAATCGAGCCTACAAATTTACATCACCAATGTACAAAGAAGACAGACAAAAATATTCTACTAATTTCATTATAAAAAATATTGAAACATTTATATGACAAACCTTAAATAATAAAATGAGTAGATTTTATCTCCTGGCAAACAATCTCGTCTTAAACTAAAGCTCTTAGAGTTACGTATTTTCATATCTATATATTTCAGTTATGAGAGCATAAAGATCGCTAAGAAATCATCGATGCATCGCCTTGGCCCACATATCATTTTACTTTCGGATTTATAGCATTCGAATATGAGATTCGTTCCACTTCAAATGCATCAAAATCCGAATCGGAAATTCACGATTTCCTTTCTTTTCATTTCGATATCATATTCCATCTCTCTACGCGTTAGCCTTATATCTTTATCAATCGATATCCGTGAATTTAAATTGTGAATTTTAAATTCGATTATTAAAACATTGTCACATTTATTAAATAAAAAATTTCAGACAGTCGTACTTTATCGACTTCTAATTTTTATTACGAAAGAATAAAAATTCGTCTGAAAGATGAGACAAATAAATAAATAAAAGAAATCGTTCCAATGTAGAATATTGTAATTGATTTCGAAAGATGACGTTTATGCTGTCCTGCCTGGGGTGTCCTGCACCCCACATTTAGGGACTTTGTTTTTTTAATGATTACACTGTGACAAGCACATAGAATTTGAATTTATGTTCGCCGCTAAAGGGATTGCACGCATGCGCGTATGAAAGTCAAGCAGATAGACAGATAGACAAAGATTTATCGGTTCTTGGGTAAGTTTTGGTGGAGGGCAAGTTGAGTGAATTGTAAATGTTTCCGGCAGAACTTCACCAAGATGGCGTCCTCCGTTGGGGGCGAGTTTGTTTACGCCTCATGGCTCCCCACGTGGGAAAAGCAGCATGGCGCGCGTTACGGTCTTCGAAATCCTCTTCTTCCCCTTGCACTTTCTATTTTTTATTTTATTCTAGCCACCCTTTAATCGACACTTCAAATATCAACCTTAGCTAAAGTCGAATCACTATTGACACACAGATATACAGGATTCTTATACTCCTGACCAGATATGTTTAGTTTACCAATTTTTTTTTCTTTATATAAATTAGGAAAGCTAAAAAAATTAGATAAAAAAAAGAACGAACATTGAACAGGGTCTGTCGTGGTATAGGAGTTTGTGGTATGTTGATAATAAAAAAGAAAAGAGAAAAAACGAATAGGATAGAGAGAAAAAAAAACGTCACCGAAAACTCATACATGTCCGAATGCAGTGGACGGTAATTCGTCGTTGTTTTTGTAACCATAATTAACCTCTTCGGCCACAGTTTGTCCTCCATTAAGAACATTGACTTTCTAATTTGTACTTCTTCACTGTCCTACCAATGACACAGACATTTTATGTATGCACTTACAAGGCTTTGCGTAGGCGCAGTTGCAATAATGATTAAATCATAAATACTCGAATAATATATGTTGTCCGAAAAAGAAAATTGTTTAGTGCACAAATTGTGTTAGACCTACGAGACAAACTGACGTTTTGTATTTTGTATGCAGTTTTGTTTACTTTGTCAAGCGATCATTTAGGTATGCTTCTTGGTATTTTAGGTTTACGAGTTCTTAGAAGAATTTCAAACGAAAAACTATGTCCAAACTATAAAAGGGTACAGTAGCAAGGGATAAAAGAAGGAATAGACTACCGTTTGCTGGCATTTAGGTTACTCTTTTATGTATCTCTATTCGAAAGGCTTAAAAAAAACCCGAAAAGAAGAAAAGAAATTGATAGCATCAATTGTCAAAACCAACAACGATGAAAAACTACTCAGATCGGAGGTAAAAATAATAGCACGTGGCTTGCCGACGCTACGCGCTGCTTTACGGCGCACTTTTGCATGATCAAATAAAGAAACAATAATATCCTTTTATTCCTGTACATTTGTTACCATAAAAAACAAAAGAATTCAAAACGTAGGTACTAAAATATCTCATTATCAGTCTAGAAATTATTTTTCCTTGCGAACTGATTGAAAAGAAAAACGGTGATTGTTTAAGTAAACGATTTTTGAGCGTGCACGAGCTTAAAATTAAATCGTCAAAATATCTTGCCAAATAAATAATGAAAAAATAAAAGATTTGGATGACTTACATTTCATTCGTTGCGGAGCGTGCTGTTTCCTTCGGGGCATCTGCGTCCTTCGGGGTTGTTCAATTATCCCTGTGGACTCCAGTTCTTCTCTCTTCTTAGCTTCGATGAATTGGTCTCGAAAACAGAATGCGACGCCTGTACACTTAGAAAAATGTTGACAAAGGAAGAAACGCGGGAAACAAATGCCGACAGTCTCCCTCTTTATCTTTCTTTCTTTCTTTCTATCTCTCTTTCTCTTTCTTTCTCTCTCTCTCTCTCTCTCTCTCTCTCTCTCTCTCTCTCCCTCTCTCTCTGTTTCTCTCTCTCTCTCTATTTCCCGCGCACACTACAGTTCACCCAAGCACACAACACGTGTCCGACGACCACTACCTCATCGTTATCGACGGAGATTCTATTTTTGTCGTCGATTTAATTGTCGAATTTTTTATCATCTTCCTCCTAATCATCGTCGTCATCATCTTCCTTATACGGCACTTGTTTCTCATCGTTGGCTATTGTATACGCACCATACAATTTATTTTCTTTTCTTTTTATCGGAACTACCGAAAAAACACTCATGCACTTTTCCACTCGCTTTTTTTTTCTTCTTTGTCTTCTTTTTTTTTTTTTTCTTCTTACCAATACACCATAGTCCGATATCAATTGTACAGATTTATGTATAGAATTTCTGTATTATTCTGCTGTTTTTAATATAGCAATTGATACTATTCATATACTAATTTTATCGATATTTCACACTTCTGATCTAAACGAGAATCATCGTCGATTATTCGTAATATTAATAATAATTGCAGAATGCAAAAGAAAGTTTAAAAAGTGGAATAAAACGCAGTGATACCAGTCTCGTATTTCTTCGGCCATCTTCGAATTCGTAGGCGCGAAAGAAGAAAAAGTCAGAAATCTGAGATGTCAGAGACCGATCGCCGCGCTCCGCGTAAACCCGCACTTTAATCAAACTATTTCGTGGTCGTCTCCATCGATATCATTGGTCGAACGAGCACCTATGAAGAAAGGAAGTGAATATAGCAACATATAAAACTAAAAAAAAAGAAGGTTAGAGTACGAAACCTTCTTTTGTTTCGCGTTATAACATCTTCGCGAGGATAATAAATTCACGATAAACAAATGATAAAAAAAGATTAGGAATAAAAAGAAGAAGAACAATAAGAAGATAGGATTTCTGTCTCGCGATTTTCGGAATCAATCCCGAGAGACTCCGTTCGTGAAACTCGCGCGCGACGTTCGTGAAGTCAAACAACGCGAAGATGGAGGCAAAAGAAAGAAAGATAGAAAGAAAGAAATATAGAAAGATTAAGATGAAACGATAGAATAGAGAAAGAGAGAAAATTAGAAGAAAAATAAGTGAGTTAAAAAGAGAAAGAGAGAAAGAGAATGAGAGAGTGAATGCTTGAAAGGAAGGGGGTAGTAAGCGAGAACGAGAGAGAGAAAGAGAGAGAGAGAGAGAGAGAAACGAAGAAGAAGAAGAAGAAGAAGGAGGAGGAGGAGGAGGAGGTGGTGGAGGAGGTGGAGGCTACCGTCGTTCGTGGATCGCGAAATCGAGCGGGCGGCGGTCCAGCGCTGACTGACTACGGACTGGCGTCGCGGCGGCAGGCCGCATGGTGGGGGGCCCCAGGAGTAGCAGTCCTCTTTCCCTCTCTCACTCCTTTCTATACTTCTCGTTTCGTCGCCCTCCTCACCACCTCCACCTCTTCCTCCTTCTTCTCCTTCCTCCTCCACCTTCTCTTTCTTCTCTCCCTCGCACTCAGTCCAGCCGCGCCGCGTCTTTCTTCTTTCTCCTCCTTTCTCTCCTGCTCTCTCTCTCTCTCTCTCTCTCTCTCTCGTGTTCTCTCTCTCTCTCTCTCGTGTTCTCTCTCTCTCCTCCCCACCCCTTTCGCTTAGCTCGACCGTTCGCGCCTCGCGCACGCGAATACAAAGATAGAAGAGAGGGCCAACCGGGGAGGGAGAGAAAGTCCGTCTATTCTATGCACTGAGAGACTCCTTTACCAAGTGAATGAGCGAATCACAATGATGGACAAGGATAAGACGTATCCTGATTTCACAACTGTTCTATGACGATGAGAAAATTAATCACAATGGTGATGATTCAACTGACACTTCACAAAACAATCAATCGAAAAATAAAACACTGTCCATTGATGCTATTGTTTTCACTGGATGCATTTCGAAATGTATCGCAATTGTTTTTGTTCCAACGTCGATAACAATCCTACAGATTTCTTTTGTTTCACTCTTATTTTAGACTTTTCTTATTCGGTGATCTTTTCAAAAGAATTTAAAGAAACGAAATGAAGAGAAAAATGTTTGGAAAATGCGTTAAGTAAAGGGCCTGAAAGCAGTGTGCGCACGAAAGGAGCTCGAACAAGGAGGCGGGGCCCTCGTTCACGGTATCTGTTCTCCGCGTGCGGCACGAGGAGAGTGCCAGCACGGGAGGGGAAGGGAACACGCTTCAGACAACTTACGCTTCTATTCGCCGCCGCGAGAGGCGCTCTTTTACGTGCGCGGTTTTACGGCGATGCGAGGACACACCTGTGAGTTTCTCAAAGTTTTCATTCGAATATCTTCTCATCTTGACACCATCCTGGTAGGTGAGTACGTATACGATGCACATTTTCTTTACCTTCGATCAGAAAATGTAATTGACTTCGAGACTATTGGGGTTTAGATACAAGACGATATTTTAGTAAACTAACCTCAAAAATACTTCTCGTTCTGTTCCAAACTACTGTTGAGCATCGTTGAGTAAGTTAGATATATAAGCAAAGTTAAAATAGTCGGCTTAGGCTTTAAAGAAAGAAGAAATATTTGACAATAATGAGTAGTTTTAAGTTGACGAGGTAACGGCAACGCTTTATTTATTTAGTATCTTGAGTAATAATGACACGTTCGTAACAATGTAACTTGGCGAATTGCCAATAACGAAACAAGTATTTAACTTTTAGAAATCGTCGTATAGAACAGATATATACCTTCGTAAATCAAGTTTATAGAGCTGTACATAATGGTGTACAATATCTACGAAATACTCTCTTGGATGTTATACAATTTAATAATCGTACTATTTAGAATAATTTTCATAAATAAAATTCTTAAATGGATTATGACGGGTTACTTTTGTTGCACATTTCTTAATGTTTCATTTTAACACGAAGTTATGTGTTAAATAATAAATGTACAAAAATATTTTCAATATCTATGTTTGCACATATTAATTGGTAGCATTTTTGTGAAAGAGAAATATGCAAAAATAAAATGAAGCTAATGTTCATAATTACGACATAACCTCCAAACAGATAAGAATATCCGAATGAAGAAAAACCGGACAACATTTTTCTTTAGAGCAATACCCAATCAAAAGTAAATTCGCTCAATTGTTTTTAGCCATTGTAGATACACATAAAACAATCGAGGTGAGATAAAAAAGAAGAAATATGAAAGAAGGAACAAAATCTTCTCGATTGAATTCTTCTCGGCGGGTAGGAGAAAGAATGATATGAATAAAAGATAAGGAGTTGACGTTTGGTCAGTGGATGACAGTGACGGCGACGGCGACGGTGACGGTGACGGTGACGGTGACGATGACGATGACAGTGGCAGACTGAAAGCATAAGGCAGGGGGCAACGCTGGCAACACTGGTTAATGCTGCGGGGCGAAGTAGTGCATTGGCGTACCAACTGGTAGTGCCCGCCTACCAGGCGGAGCCCGCATGATCTATAGCGTCATAGAACACCCCGGCTGCCGTGGTAGGAACTCGATGGATACGCCCACTCTGCGGAACGTGCGCGCTCTGCCCCCGCCAGGCCCACCACCTCCACCACCTCCACTCCACTCCACTCTACTGTACTGTACTCAACTCCACTCCACTCAACTCTACCACCACCACTGGCAGTGCCGTTCCAGAGGATGTTTATGCTCTTGGCTGGCGAGGTACGCCGTGTCTCTATCTAGTCGCGGCTCCGCGCTCCTTCGCTCTCCTTCCAAAGACGACGACGTTCTCTCTTCCTGCGCTACTGCCGATAACCTTCTTCTTCTTCTCCTCCTCCTCCACCACCACCACCTTCTCCTTATCCTCCTTCTCTCTCTTTCAGTTAGATTATCCCGCCCTCCGGCCCTCTTTTATTCATTCGCCGTTCATTACCGCTAAACATTCCTGTCAATTAAAAGTGCAGCCGATTTACTGTTCAACCTCTCTGTCCCTCTTTCTCTACGTTTCTTCGTATCATCTCTAACACTGCGCCCCCGCAAAGACCCCGCCTGTATCATATCGTCGATGGGACGTTAAACATCGACCGATCCTTTTACGCAAACTTTGCATCGAGCAGCCCCCAAGTTCCTTCTCGTCGACCATGCGACTCTCCATGTCGAGATCTTTTTCTTTATCGTCGGGGTTCCAACTATATTCTATTCTATATCAATTTTTATTGATCTCGAATACAACTCGGAGAAGATACGTTCACAAAGGAGATAGGATTTCTCAATTGTAATTATCTTTTTCTCATAAGTACTACTTACTTACTTACTTACTTACCTGCATAGTAAATAGGTAGACTGACCGACCGTACAAACTGGTTTTCAAAGTTGTCAGGGAAAAAACAGGAATTACCTGATAAATCGTATACTTTAGTTTGGTCTTCTTTTCTTTCATTCGTTTTTTTCTTTCTTCAAAATTCTTCAAGTCCAGATTACCTGGACGACTCAATGACACGGCATTCATCAGCTATTTATGGGGTTCGGACTTTGATAATTTACACAACGAACGAAACTTTACGTATTCTCGAAATATCCTAATTATGTGATCTTTTTTCTCGACTTTCATTTTAAGCGCATTTGCATAGAACGACTTGGTATCGATGGTAACGCCAGGATTCGATCGAACTTTATGCGCGATTTCTTCTATCCTCTCTCTTCTCTCTCCCCCTTTCTTTTATGTATGCATACAGATACATGGAAACAAACTTACACACGCTTACATTAGGGTCTTTGCTCTTCGACGTAGACGCGTAGGACGTTCCGTGCGGGGCCGAATATCAGAGAGAATAATTTACTTCAACGACGATCGTCGCATCGTTTTTGTTCGTGTCGTCGTCGTCGTAGTCGTCGTAGTCGTCGTAGTCGGCGTCGTCGTAGTCGTAGAGAAGTGGTCATGCCGTTTCTAGTTTCAACCCGCATCAAGCCAATTCGACGCCGACGAAATTCGCGGCCCGACGTTTACGAGACCGTTTATTAGGTGACGTTCCCATTGAGCGACTTGGCTGTGAGCTGAATATTTCGCCTCTTTCCAGAATCTACATGGGAAAGTTCCACGCGCTATTTGTTCACCCAGTATACACACCTAGAAATATAACCGAATATTGGCGAAAACCCGACGACAAAGAACACGGATAGAAATTTACCGTGACACGATAAATACTTTGTGGGTTCAACTAGGCAACCTTTTACGACAGGTCAAGGAAAGAGAGAAAGGAATAATTTCAAACACCAAAGTCTTCAACGTTCCAGAGAGAATAGAACAAACTAATCAATTATAATCATCCTATTCTTATGAAAATAATGTACCATTAATTATTAAACCTTTATCTGTTGGATCCTTGTAATAAAATGTCATCTCTGTGAACGTTAAACGCCATTTATAAAATTGATACACGATCGAGTATTACTGTCTCGAAACTTTCTAACTAATCTGACTATACCAAGGTATATCTCTAATAAAAAATCAGATTAATTGTAAGAAAAATAGGAGTTTTTAATCAGCCTTGAGAGAACTCGTGGGCTAGGGGGAAGTTTTACAGGTGATGAAAAATATTTAAAGAGAAAAATAAAAATGAGAAGAAAAATAGAAACTGAACAAATGAAACAAAAAAAAATGGTGAGAAGCGTGCGTGCGGTCAGACGGAGAATGTTGGAGGGATGTTTGGTTCACGCGAGAGAGAAAGAGAGAGTCTCTTCTGTCACGTAGCAGAGGGGGATAGCCGCGGGGGGTTTCCTTTTACGAGCATTGCCGTCGTCAGTGGACGCGCCCGGAGGTACTAAACTTGCGAATATTTCGCAAGGCGTCCCGTTATGCAACGACAATGTGGGTCAGTGCACAAACCGACCCTCCTCGTCGACCCTCCCCTAGTCTTCCTTGTGGAACGTTTTACCGGTAGGTATAGTGTAGTAGTAGTCTCCCTGCGGGATCCGAAATAAGTGCATCTCGTAAAATAAAGTACCACGCACCGCTTTCCACGGTTCTCTTCTAAGTCTAGCAACCATCGTCAATCCAACGTCCAGTTTTCTCCGACATCGTTTATCTATAATTCTATGCATGCATATATATGTACCCTTTCAATTTGTCAACGTCTTAACGTGATTTCATTCAACAGATTATTGACACGATATCTTGCAAACATTTTCAGAACAATATGCGCGATCGCGTTTATATCAATTTTGTTATTATTATTCATACCTTTTATCGATATCTCGTAGATACAAATGCAAGTTTATTTTTAGTTTAATAGTTACCAATGCAAATATATATTTTCCGTTCAATTCGTTTAGAAAAGATCATATGTATGATTTGATTTATGACAGGG